GGGGAGTTCGTTCCAGAGGGTCGGAGCAGCCACAGGGAAGGCTCTCCTCCGGGTAGTCGCCAGTTGACACTGGCCGGCGGATGGGATTCGGAGGAGGCCTAATCTGTGGGATCTGATAGGTCTTAGGGAGGTAATTGGCAGCAGGCGGTCTCTCAAGTACCCAGGTCCAATACCATGAAGGGCTTTATAAGTTACGACTAGCGCCTTGAAGCGTATCTCATGGCTCAAGGTTGACTCAGCCTTCCGTCCGTCTGCGGTCCATAAAATGAAAGACCCAGATTGTGGGGGGGGAGAGGGGGGGTTTAAATATGCTGAATCTGTAAATCGCTTACAGAGGGTCACGAAGCACGGCGAAAGCGGTATATAAGTCTAACGGCTATTGTTCACCTGGTAAGGGGACGCCGGCAAAGCTACTGGCTAGAGCCTGTCGTAAGGTTTCCAAGTGCTGTTGCAAGACCGTGTTGCGGCTGCGCTCATGGATCACGTCCACCTCCAGCTTCTCCACCGCGGTCCGCATGCTCTCCACGTGTTTCTGGAGGGCCGCGTTCCTCTCCTCAAACTCCATGTTGGACTTGCGAAGCTGGCGCAGCTCGGCTTCTCGCGCTGGCAACAGAGAAGAGGGTGAGAACCACGTTATCTGAAATTCAGAAGATTTGGCCTGAGCGGGGAAAGGATTGGGGCCCTCATTCCCCGCATTTCTCGTCTCTTGATCACCAAAGGAAGACAAGATAAAGGGATTTATAGAATTAAGAGATGTCGTTATTAAGAAGGTAAGGATTTTCTCTATCCGGTCTTTCTCTGACATCAGCTCATCTCTGTTCCTTGGCCGAGGGAGCCAGCGTTGTCCAAAGACGCCTCTGTGTTTACCTTCCCACCGAAGTGGTACCTATTTATCTACTCGCATTCGCATGCTTTCGAACTGAAGGTAATTTCTGCTTCAGGTATTCTGAAGAATACCTGACTCCCAACAGTTTCAAATGAAATAAGTGTACAACAATTTCTTCTTAAACCAGGTTTCCCAACCTTGGCAACTTTTAAGGCAGGTAGATTTCAACTCCCAGAATTCCTCAGCCAGCCAGTCGAAGTCCACTCATTTTAAAGTTGTCAACGTTGGGGGGGAAACCCGGTCTTAGATTCTTCTTACTATCAGGAGGAACACTACCCGAGTTGCATAGCCGCAATGATACCCTCTAGGACAGGGGTGGGGAACGATGGGTCCTTTATGACTTGTGGGCTTCAACTTCCGGGCTCAGGAATTCTGGGAGCTGAAGTCCACGAGCCATAAACGGGACACCGTTCCCCCACCCCTCATCTACATGCTTTATATCAAACTCTTGAAAGAATTCTCTTTAAAGCCTTCAAATGGTAGAGGAAGAAGACTTGGGGTTTGCGTCTGATGAGTCATTTTTGAAATTCTATTTAGGATTGAATTACTTTTAAACTAATTTTAGAAAGCAATCAAGAATTTATTATGAAAAATGTTCAGAGATAGTCCTACATGCCCTTAGCATTTCATTAGATTAAATGAAGGTTCCCCCCCCCCCTCCTTCCCCCCTGTAAGCTGTGGTGGAGGAGTTCTAATCAAACAGTTACGTATTATCAACTCTGATCAAAGAGTTTCTAAGGAAACTGGGGGAGAGGAAAAAAAAAATCACACAGTGGATTAATGCTAGTGTAATTTTGCTGCCCATCATTTCTGACAAAAAGGCAAACATTAAGAGTAAAGGTTCCATTCGCACATCTGTGCTAGTGGTTCTCGACTCTAGGGGGCGTTGCTCATCTCCGTTTCAAAGCCAAAGAGCCAGCGCTGTCCGAAGACGTCTCCGTGGTCATGTGGCCGGCATGACTCAATGCCGAAGGAGCACGGAACGCTGTTCCCTTCCCACCAAAAGTGGTTCCTATTTTTCTACTTGCATTTTTTCGTGCTTTTGAACTGCTCGGTTGGCAGAAGCTGGGACAAGCAACGGGAACTCACTCCCTTATGTGGCGCTAGGGATTCGAATCGGCAAACTGC